CACAATGAGAGTAACAATAATCATAAAATAGAGCAATTATAACGAGATACTGTAATAAAAGTTATGTGAATGGCTTTGGAGCCATTAAGCAAAATAAGGGCTATTTGAACACAAGCACTGCAATACCTCCACAGCTGATCTGATAACCTAGTCAGGTCTACAAAATGGATACACTGGACAAAGGGATGAGTCACAACCCAGGGAGGACAGAGCTGGGCTGAATGGGACACCTGCGAGATTTCATCACACAACTCAGAATGGGGTGCAACTTCAAATTTACAAAATGTTTATTTCTGGAATTTTCCATTTTCAAACTGTGGTTGACCCCAGGTAACTGAGACTGCAAATAGTGAAATCGCGGATGGGGGGCAGGGCACTACTGTATATTGATTACATGCTTAAGTCATCATACTTTGGCTATACTGTTAACTAAAATATATTACGACATTAATTTCACTTGTTTCTTTTTATTTTTAAAGTCACGTATGTATGTGGCTCACATATTTCTAATGTACAGCACTACCTTTGAGAATCTGGTAGAAACTATGCGGCGCTTTCAGAAAAATGAACCTACACCACACCCGTCTCTCATAATGCTGTTTATAATTTCGGAAGTGCATGAAATCCTTCCTGCAAACCCTCCCCGAACACCCAGCTCCCAGGTCAAAAACGTCTGCTGTAGGTAATCAGTGTGGGGCCAAGGAGGTAGAGGCATTAACCGGCCTCAGTGAGGGATGGGCACTGCAATTGGTCTGAGGATTCAGTCCCGATCCTAGCGCCCGGCCCTGAGGACCGAAAGGCACGTGAGGGTCACGGGGCGGGGCTGAGAGAGGAAGTGGAGGGCCGCGCCCGGAGCCGGTTTTCCAGCAGGGCCGTCCTGCGCCCAGGCCTCGGCCTCACTCCGGGAAGAGGGCCAGGGGAAGGCTAGGCGCACGGGGAGGAGAGCCCGGGACCAACAGGGGTGGAAATCCGGCTTCCAGGCGGGCAGCGGCCCCGCGCCGCTTCCAGGCGGGCAGCAAGTCGAGCGGCAGAGTCGGAAGTCAACCCCGGCGCAGGGTCTGCGATCCTATCCGCCTCTCGCCGCTGCTCGCTCGCGCTCGGCCCCGACCTGCGCCCAACCCTGCCCCCCGCGCCCCGCATCCCGGCGCCCGCCGCGCTCGCTCTCCCCGTCCCAGCGGTCGGAGGGCCGGCCCCCTCCCCCGGCCTGCCCTGCCACTCCTCACCTGCGCGCAGCGCCGCTCCGCTCCACCCGTTCCGCCCGCTTCGCCCGCCGCGCTTCCGCTCCGCCCGCGCTGCCGGGTCCTGGCGCCGCCGGCACCCGGCGCTCTGCTTGTGGTGCGCTCACTGGGCTACCGAGTTCACGTCCCCGATCGCGGTCGAGTCGCGGACCCCAGCGCGGAATCGCACTCGGAGCCGCCCTTGGACCTCTGGGCACCCGCCTCCTGTAGTCCCCACACCTGGCCGCCCGGCCCGCGCCCCCGCCTCTGTCCCCTCACTGCCTTCCCCTCCGTCCTGACCTGGGCTCTCTGCCGCCCAACGCTCAGGGACGCCCTTGCCTTTCCCTTGTGTACCCGGTGCACGACCCCCAGCACAGGTCTGGAAACAGCCCGTTTCCTCCAGCCGGAGGGAATATTTGAGTACGTCCGTACTTAATATTTAATACGTCTTTTAGCGCGCCTTTATTTTCTTGTCTTGACTAATGTGGGCCGTTCTCCCCACAGAATTCACTTAGTTTACACCCCCACCACCACCACCCTTTTAAAAATTAAATATATAAGCCAGACACAATAGGAAAAATATTATGATTCCACTTACATAAGGTAGCTAGAGCAGTCAAATTCATAGAGGCAGAAAGTAGAATGGTGGTTGCGAGGGACGGGGAAGCAATTTGGGATGGGGGAGTTATTGTTTAAAGGGTACAGTTTCTGACAGAGTCTCTCTTTGATCAACTAGTCAGGCTCCTCTGACTCCTCTTCCCAACTAGGCCTCTACTTGCATTTCCGAATTTTAGCGAGAATCCT